CACACACACACACACACACACACACACACACACACACACAAAGTCTCCTTTTACTCTGTGTGCTCTGGTGTCATACAGCCAGGGCTGCATGTGTTTGACCTTGTCTGTCTTTCTCTTTCAGACACCACACTTGCAGAGACATCCAGAGGGAAGCCCCAGATCAGCACCAGCTCATCCCAGACACCACTCCTCCGATGGGTCCTGACTCTTAGCTTTCTGATGGCAACAGTGGCAGTGGGAATTTATGCCATGTGAATGCAAAAGTGCTGGCCCCCAGGGGCTGCGAACTCTATCCATGAAGGGCCTTCTCTTCTGAGGAGAGAATCTTGCCTGGCTCTCTTCTCTTGGGCCTCTAAGAAGCTTGTGGGGCTCCGAGACCCCTCCCTGTGCCCTCCTCTCTCTGTGCAATGGAGGGAGATGCTTGATACATTTTTCCCTCACCAGAAGCATACCCAGCCAGTGGCCTGAACTTTGAAACCAGCAACCCAAATTCCTGCTGCAGACCATTATTCCTTCTTCAAAACCATGGCCTGGCCGGGCGCTTGTGGTGCACGCCTTTAATCCCAGCACTAGGGAGGCAGAGGCAGGCAGAGCTCTGTGAGTTCGAGGCCAGCCTGGTCTACAGAGCGAGTTCCAGGACAGCCTCCAAAATAATACAGAGAAACCCTGTCTCGAAAAACCAAAAAAGAAAAAAGAAAAGAAACCGTGGCCTGAAGTGGCAGCCGTTCTGAGCCCAGTGCCCTTGGTGGCTGCCCATGGTGTGAGCTGCCCACGGCTGTTTTCCTCCGGTGTTATGGCCACGTTGGTATACTGTGCAGAGATGTTCTGTCTTGTTTCTTTTTATTATTTCCCCAATTACACCTCAATGGTGGTATTTTGTTGTGTTTTTTTCTAACAATGTTGGGCTGTCTGGAGGGGTGGGTGGGAAAGAGGTATTTAATAGTTGCAACCTTGGTCTCCAACTTTTGTGTGAAATAATAAATAACATTATTTGACAGTCATTGGAAGTGTCTTCGTGTCTTTGCTGATCCTGCTACCCTTCTCATGTCTCTTCAGTGCTTGACAGGAGGGCAGGTGATGGTGGCATTGGTAGCTGCAATCCTGGATTGTGCTTCACACTGGAAGTGAGCTTTAAGCAGCTGGGCAGATCTTATTGACTGTGTGTGTGTGTGTGCGCGCGCTCGCAGAAGCCAGAGGTCAATCTCAGGTATTTTTAAGGAATCATCTACCTTGGCTTTTATTTATTTAGGGAGGATCTCACTATGTAATGCTGGTTGGCCTGGAACTTGTTATGTAGACCAGCTAGCCTTGAACTCAGTGAGATCACCCTACTTCTGCCTCTCAAGCACTGGGATTAGAGGTGTGTGCCACCATGCCTGGCCAGTCCATCTTCTGTTTAGAGATAGTGTCTCACTGGCCTCTGGCTCCCTGATTCAGTTAGAATGGCTGGTCAGTAAGCTCCAGGGACCCTCCTGTCCCTGCCTCCCCAGTGCTAGGATCACAAGCACACACATCATGCCTGACTGGCCTATCGCTTCACATTTACTGAGGCTCACATGGGCAGATGCAGGGGTAAAGATGATATGCTCTGAATAATGGTACTTAGGGATAGAGGCGATTACCTGGGTTCAAGTTCTCTTTCTAACTTTTCTCTTTTGTGTGTATGTGTGTGATGCATGCTGGAATGCGTAGCCCTGTACTCAGTGTGAGGAGACAGTCCCCTTCCATTTGGATGTGGGTTCCAGAGGTTGAGTTCAGGCTTGGGCAGCAAGCATTTTACCCGCTGAACCACCTGCTACTCTACTTTGGAGTTGGTCACTTACACCCCCTGGGAATCAGATCCACCACCTGTGACATTAATACAGTGATGGTGACCTCACCGTTGTGGCTTGGGAAGCATGTTAAATTCCAAGGCCTCATCGCCACAGCTCTCTTATGCAGAGGCAAGCCAGTGTCTTCTGATTCTCGCACTGGAGGAGTCATCTGCCTGCCATGCTTGTGTAAACCCTCAGCAAACCTGCCCAATACCAGGGAGGGTTTCAACCCAGGTGATGAAAGCCATGCAAACACTGAACATACAGCTCCCACTGTGGGAAAGCGAAACTGTTCACTGGAGGCAGAGCAGGGACAAGATACCTACTTTGTACCACCAGTCCTAGAGGTCTGGGAGTTGGCAGATGTTTGTCCCTTGTGCTGGCTCTATTACTAAGTCTGAAATCTTGGGCACATTGCTTTGAATGTCATTTTGCTCATGGGACAAATGAGCAACACACCTGCCTTCCACCGCGGATGATGGCAGTACAGTTGATGCAGAGACTCCAGAACTCCATGGAGGTACTTAGTCGCAGAGCTCAGAGCTACGCCAAGGGGTGGGGTCCCAGAGCCACCATACAAGAAAGGCATCCAGGAGGATTCAGACGCACACGCACACAACCAGGTCCAGAAGCCATTCTTTAGGAAATTAAGGCTAGAGATATAGATATATGCAAAGCATAGACATCAGATAGCAATGATAGCTCTCCTACTGTGGACCCAGTCGCCTCATCTGTGAACGCATTCACTGTGATAAAATAAGAAAGGTTGAAGGGGAGACCCTGAAGAGACAGACGGCTCAGCACTGAAAAACCCTGCCTGCTCCTACAAAGGAGCCCAATTTGATTCCCAGCACCCACACGGGTGGCTCACAGCGCCCTCTTCTGGCCTTCTTGGGTACCAGGCACACATGGAGTACACTGATACATATGCAAACAAAATATCCGTGCCTACAAAATAAACCAAAGGGCTGGGGGTGTAGCTCAGCGGTAGAGTGCTTACCTAGCATGTGGGGTGCCCTGGGTTCACACACAGCACCTGAAGAGTGGGGAAAGAAGAGGGAACAGAGAAACTATTTTTTGAATTCCACAAAGGAGTAGTTAAGTACTTTCTATCAGTTGTCAGGAGATGAACAAAACCAGAGACTAGTTAAAACTGGACAGACTTCAAAGAGGACTAACTATAGCAACAGGGAAGAAATCCAGCGTGGACTGAGCCACCCCTGCCCCCTTCTTTTCAGTGCTGGGAATCAAATCTAGAGCTTTGTTCATATCAGGCAAGGCTCTGCCAGTGAGCTACTACCTCAGCTTCCAGTTGTGCAATGGGGAATGAGTCTTTTACTTTCCAGGACACGTGGTGCTGGAGACCAGATCTAGGACCCTGCACGGACCAGTTCCGTGCAGCTCTAAGCCACAACCCCAGTCTGCCCCAGCCCTGATGGACTGGAAGTGGACTACGGGGCTGGATGGAGTTAAGGAAGAGAATTACAAAGGTTTAGTCAATGAAGACATCTTGAGACCAGCTGTGCCTCCCAGCAGGCAAAGATCAAAGTCCAGATTCTATCCTCTCACAGAGACTAGGCAACAGGTCCCATCCAAGGGGACTGGTTGGAGCAAACAGTGACCATAATTTTGTCACCTTCCATTTTCTCTGGCTAGAGCTACGGCCTTGGGGCATTTCAAATATTAATGGTTATTCAAGTCTTTATAGATGGAGCTGAAGCAGGGATAGGCAGGGAAACAGTCCATCCACCCTCACCTGTCTGGATATGGCTCACATCTCTTGCAGACTGGTCAAGAGTTTCAACATAGAGGGCTGGAGAGATTATGGCTCAGTTCCCAGTGCCCACACGGTGGCTCATGAACCTTATATTGCAGGGGCTCTCAGACCTCCTGATACACAAACAATCATGCAGGCAAAACACTATTATTTAGGTAAAATAAACATGTTAAACTTAAAAAAAAACAGGGCTGGAGAGGTGGCTCAGAGGTTAAGAGCACTGACTGTTCTTCCAAAGGTCCTGAGTTCAATTCCCAGAAACCACATGGTGGCTCACAACCATCTGTAATGAGATCTGGTGCCCTCTTCTGGCAGAACACTGTATATGTAATTAATAAATAAATCTTTAAAAAAAAAACTTAAAAGAAAACAAACAGTTGGGTGGTGGTGGTGTACTCCTTTAATCCCAGCACTCAGGAGGCAGAGGCAGGTTGATCTCTGTGAGTTGGAGACCAGCCTGGGGTTAAAGGCGTGGGCCGCCACCGCCTGGCGAATTTCAAATGTTTTCAGCACTGCCAAAGAATTAAAAACTTTCTACCACCACCACCACCACCTAAATTTGGATGAAAGAAAACACCTTTGGCAGCTTAGGCTTGCTGGCGGCATCTGTCAGGCAGGTGAGCTGCCCAGGATGGCACTCTGGCACCTCCTGCTGGGCCGGGGCAAGAAGACACCGCTTGGGCACACTAGTTTCTTCCAGTAGCTCGGAAAGGGGTGATTTTTCTCATACAGAATCGACATCACTGTATGTATATAGGTCCATATGTATACAGTAGTATACAGTATGTATATATAATATACACATATATACAATATGTATATACAATACACACATATACAATACGTAAACAATATACAATATGTATTTACAATATACGAATATATATATATAAATATGTATGTGCACATTGGTGTTTCTTCTTCGTGACGGTGTCGGATCCTCTGGGATTGTACCTACAGACAGTCTGTGCGCTGCCTTGTGGATGCTGGGAATTGAACCAGGGTGCTCTGGACGAGCAGCGGGAGCCCCGAGCGGACGAGCCCTCCCCGCCCTCCCCAGCCCGTTTAAGGGGGGGTTCGTGCAGCTTCAGGCGCTAGGAGGCCTCACCGCGCCCTGTGTTTGGTGTCTGTGTACCTGCGCGAGCTTGGCGCGCACCCAGTCCGCTAGCGCCGGAGGCCGCCCGGCCGTCTGAGAGCCGAGACGCGCGCAGAGCTCGCGCCGCGCCCCGCCATCTTTGCGGGGCGCCCCCTTCCTCACAACTTTCGCGCCAAAACGTCCCGCTCCACAAGATGGAGGCCGGAAGGAGGCGGCGCGTGACGTCACCGAGACTCGCAGCCAATCATTTCGGGAGCCCGTCCGCGGGGGGGGGCGGGACGCGGCGGGCGCGGGGCGGCCCAATGGCGGGCCGGCGAGGGCGAGCGCGCCAATGGGAGCGTCAGACGCCGCGGCCGCCGTAGACGCCGCGCGCGCCAGGGTTTTCCCGCGAAATCCGCCCGGGGAGCGCGGTGTCCGTGTGGCGCGGCTGTGAGGTGAGGGCCCGGGAGCACGGCCTGGACGGCCCCGGCCCGAGACCCAGGGGACCCGGCGGCCGCTCAGCTCTGTCTCCCCCGCCCCAGGTGCAGTCATGTCGGGCTTCGACGACCCCGGCATCTTCTACAGCGACAGCTTCGGCGGCGACCCCGGCGCCGACGAGGGCCAGGCCCGCAAGTCGCAGCTGCAGAGGCGCTTCAAAGAGTTCCTGCGGCAGTACCGAGTGGGCACCGACCGCACCGGCTTCACCTTCAAGTACAGGTGCGGCCGCTCGGCGGGGCTGAGGACCGCACGGTCCGGGGCGAGCGGGGCTGAGGACCGGACGGTCCGAGCGGGGCGGGCGGGGCGGGCGGGGCGGGCGCAGTGACCCCCGGGCTGCGTGGGAGCCGCTGGCCGGCGGCCCCTGCTCAGCGAGCCTCCCCGCTCCTCCCCCCGCTGCCCACCGCAGGGATGAACTCAAGCGGCATTACAACCTGGGGGAGTACTGGATCGAGGTGGAGATGGAGGACCTGGCCAGCTTTGACGAGGAGCTAGCAGACTACTTGTACAAGCAGCCAGCCGAGCACCTGCAGTTGGTGAGTAGCGCCCGTCTCCGGGGCCCCCCAAAGCCGGCTGGCCCTGTCCCCGTCACCGACCGAGTACGCCTTTTTTCCTCTTCAGCTTGAGGAAGCTGCCAAGGAGGTGGCCGACGAGGTGACCCGGCCCCGACCTGCGGGTGAGGAGGTGCTCCAGGACATCCAGGTCATGCTCAAGTCAGACGCCAGCCCATCCAGCATTCGCATTCTGAAGGTATGGCTGCTGTGTGGTGTGCAAGGGCCTGGGGCTCCAGATGTGTGGCCCTCGGTGAAACACTTGACTTAAAGTGAGCCTGTGTCCTTCTGTGTAAAATTACCTCAGGTCGGTGTCCTGTGGGAAGGCTGAGTTGAATCTGGGAGAAAGAGCAGTGACTTCCTAGCCGTCGTGGAGACTGAAGAACAGTAAACACCATCCGTAGCCAGGCGGTGGTGGCTCTTGCCTTTAATTCCAGCACTTGGAGGCAGAGACATAGACAGGAGGATCTCTGTGATTTCAAGGCTAGCCTGGTCCACAGAGTGAGTTCCAGGACAGCCGGGGCTACACAGAGAAACCCTGTCTTGGAAAACAAAACCCAGCTGTAACTGGGAGGCAGAGGCAGGCAGATGTCTGAGGTCAGCTCGGTCTACATAGTGAGACCTTGTCTCCAAACACGAACAAAAAAGACCAAAAGAAATGGCCATGGCTAAGAGGGATGGAGAGTTGACGAAGGTAATACTGGAGCTGAAGACAGTGTAGCCTGGAGGGCATTCCACCAGCAGCAGGCACAGAGGCTCTGGGGTGACAGTGGTAGCCTGTTTGGAGGAATGGGAAGAACGCTGTGCAACCGGAGCCCCCTGAGCTTGAGTGTGGAGAGCGGAGGATAACATGGGAGTCCAAACCTCTTCTTCCACATCTGGAGTTCCTGGGACTGAACTTGGGTACTCAGGCTTGGAGGCAAGCAGGTACCTCTATATCTTTTTATGAGGCTGGGGATTAGACCTGGGCAAAGCACTCTGGAACTCCGGCCCTAGACCCCACGTTTCTGGAGGTCTGGCTGCTATGAAGAAAGGTTTCTAGTGTAGGAGGAGGTGGAAGCAGGGAGAGTCGTTCCTGTTGTGTCCTGACGTGGCCGATGCATGTGTGATAGACAACACGGGGGAATCTGCTCTCTTCTACCAGGACAGTCTTGGGGATTGACATTAGGTACTTGGTCTAGGAGGCCAGTGACTTCACCTGTTGAGCCATCCCGTGAGCCCCGCCCCAGTTTGTGCTTTTAAAAGGGGGTTCCTTACATATTTAATACAATAAACCAGGAGTCCTTGATATCATTGGATGTGTCCTCTTAGATTCAGATTTCATAGCTTGTGTTTCAAGAAGGAACAGGTGTTGTATTAAGCTGTTATCGATCTTAAGTCTTACTGTAGAACACCCCTCCTCACACTTGTGAATGTAATTCCTTTCCTGGTTACTAGCTTATGGAAGAGGAGGGGCTGGTTGTCCTGTAGAAGGATGTGGGACCTTGTAGACGTGTCTGCTCAGCTGCATTGATGCACACCCGTATTACCTGGAACCTGGGGGTTGCCTTCCGGTTTGACATAACTGAGCAGAGATGCTGATGGATGTTGCTGGTGCTTTGTGCAACATCCTGTCACTGGCATCCTCGCAGCCTCTCCATAGTCTAAGAGCCTCAGTTTTATGCATGTGTCTGTTCTCTTCATCTAGCCCGAGATGCCCTGAGGGGGGAGAAGTGGTGGGGAGATTGTCCCAGTCCTGTAGACTCTGGTGAGGCTGGCACAGAAAGCAACAGAACGTGATAATGTCTCACTGTAGATAGTAAAGACAATAGCATCTAAAAAGAACAGAATGAGAGTCCCTTGGTAGTTGTCATCCAGCTTAGTGATTAGGCTGATCTTTCTTTTTGTCTCTAGAAGGCGGTGGAACTCTTTTTTGTTGTTGTTGTGTAAGATCACAGGGTTTCCTTGTGTAGTCCTGGCTCCTGGCTGTTCTGGAACTAACTCTGTAGACCAGGCTGGTATTGAGATCTGCCATCCTCTGCCTCCTGGGGGTCACGGAGCCCTTGAAATAAGTCTGATCATAATGTCATTTCTTCTGAAACTGTTACCATAATATGTATGTGTGTGCGTGCGTGTGTGTGCGCGTACACACACACACACACACACACGCGTGTGCACACGCACACATTCATGGAAGTAAGGATTTCTTTTTTTTTTTTTTTTTTTTTGAGATTGGGTTTCATTCTATGTAGCTCTGGCTGTCATGGAACTCAACTAGGTAGACCAATCTGGCTTGAATGCACAGAGATCTACCTGCCTTTGTTTCCCAGGTGATGAGATCAAAAGTGTGTGCCACTATGCCCATCTCAAGGAATCGTTTTTTAAAAGTATAACGAAATGGCCCAGCAGAAATGAATGCATTCTAAGAGGCACCTGACCTATCAGACTATTAAAACAATGGACCCCAGGAAGGTGGAATTTCCTTAGAAAAGATGTGTACCAGCAGTGGAAACTCTGCAGGAAAGAAGTTTACATTACAGAAACAGTGATGGGTCAGTGACAGGTGGGACCAGAACCTGATCAGTCAAGACTGCTTAAGGAGACACATCTCTGGCTCTGTTTAAACCCATCTCTTTTAGGAGACAGGGTTCCACTCTTCCTCTTCGCAGTGTGGTCTTATTAGATAAACCTCTTTTCTGTTTTTTTTTACTATTAATTTGGCTATTTTAATTGGCTACTTTAGGATGGGTAGCTGAACCTGGTTTCTTGATTTGATAACATGATGAGACACCTTTATACTTGGAAGGCAGAGGCAGGTGGATCTTTTTATGAGTTTGAGGCTAGCCTAGTCTACACAGTGACAGGTCCCAGGACAGGCTCCAAAAGTACACAGAGAAACGGGGTGCGGGGGGAGAGGGAGAAAGTACGGGACAAAAAAATAGTGTTGCAGAGGTGACAGACCTTGAACTAGAACCTGGGTGGGCCTCTGCCCCATCTCTGTTCTCTGTGGTATAACATAGGAAATTACTGTCAGTGCTGGGGTTTGGGCCTTCTGGTTTTGTCAGAGAATGGGTTTCATGTTTACTTTGTTTCCCCAGCCCCTGTCTTCATTCTGCAAGGCTCCTGAGAATGGGGGCCTGTGCCTGAGGCTCCCGACCCTGGTGTCCAGGTAGCCTGACATTAGCTGGGTGCTCTGGAAAGTCTGAGCTAAACTATGAGCCATGGCGCTGTCACCTCCAGATCTTGTCCTTGTCATTCCTCTGCACCTTCTGTTGTTTCCTGATTGTTATAACTTCAAACCTCCCTGTGTCTCTGTTACAGTCAGACATGATGTCACACCTGGTGAAGATCCCTGGCATCATCATCTCAGCTTCTGCCGTTCGTGCCAAAGCCACCCGCATTTCCATTCAGTGCCGCAGCTGCCACAATACCCTCACCAATATTGCCATGCGCCCGGGTCTAGAGGGCTATGCCCTTCCCAGGAAGTGCAATATGTGAGTGCATAGCCAGGAGGGACTGGGGGAAGTGACCTAAATCATTTCAGCTCGAGAAAGCCGACAACCCGGCAAGTGCTTCCTGTAACTGCTTGTTACAGGCCTTCTGTGAAGGGCTGAGTAGCACCACACTGGGCCAGACATGGTGTTCCTTCATGTGATTGCCCCACGTGAGTGACCACCCAAGGTTGTGGAGGAAACAGCCCAGGGAAACCGAGTTTATGGAGTCTTGTGTGTGGGGGTTCTCTGTGTTATTCTGCAGCTTGCCCTGTAGGTCAGGCTGGCCTTTAACCCAGAAATCTGCATTTGCCTCCTGAGTTTTGGGTGGTGGGCGCCACTATTATCCTGCTTGTCTGGAATCTTCTAAAGCAAACTGGCTTGCTAGGCTAGACCCAGTGTGCCCACGGTACCTCCTGAGAACATGGCTGTACTACTTGATTTTTAGCGTATTGTTTCCCTGTGGTTCCTAACAGGGAATGCTTGCTGACTCCCATAGAATGAACCCTACTTGCATGCTAGGCGCTTTCGGCTTCTCTTCTGGTTTCTTCTCAGCTCCCACATTGCTTGAGGCACACTGCCTTGTCCTAGGCTGTTGCCCCCCTCACCCATAGCCAGGGCCGTTCTTCCCTCTCCCCGTGTCCCGCCTTCACTGCTCCTCAGGCTATTCCCTGTCCGGGAGCAGGGGGGCAACGAACTTGCCTTCTCTGCCTAAATGGTCTTCCCTCAGGCTGCCATTTTGTTACTTCAGGCTCCTTGTATGTCCTCTCACCAAAGATGCCTTCCTCATCCCATGTTTGCATTTGGTGCACACACATCACTCCTCACAGCTATTCTTGCTGCATGCCATGAGACTCTGCAGATAGTTTCACCCTGACGGGAACTTAGCTTTATAGACCAGGGACTCGGGGTGCGCTGCTGTGTCTCTTCTCCATATGCTGAGGTGGCTTACCCTCAGAATGGTCTAGAGGTGGTAACATCTCACTGAAAAGATCCAGGGCTGTGGATAGAGCTTAGTAAGGGATTTGATGGTATGGACAGAGGCCTCATGAGGAAGCTATAGTGCGACTGCCACCTCAATGTGCCATAGAGAAGCCAAGATTCCTGAAGTTCTGGCTTTGGATGTAGCATCCTGCCATCATGGAAACTATCCTTCCAGGCCTTTTCCCAAACTTATCCCAGCTTGGCCTTATATTGCTGCCGCATCTCAAGACTGACTTCTTTGAATGGATGAGCCCTGCCTTTGGGTTTTCTGGGTACCTCTGGTGACTGCTTCTTCCCCTGCCCAGGGATCAGGCTGGGCGCCCAAAGTGCCCCTTGGACCCCTACTTCATCATGCCTGACAAGTGCAAGTGCGTGGACTTCCAGACGCTGAAGCTGCAGGAGCTGCCTGATGCGGTGCCTCATGGAGAGATGCCCAGGCATATGCAGCTCTACTGCGACAGGTGAGTGGCGGGGCTGTGGGTCATTGTACCTGCCACTCAGGTGTGGCATCTGGAGCAGAGTGCAGGATGACCTTGTCATCTCTTGTCTCCCATAGTCCACAAGGCACTTCTACCCATATTTCACGTGGAACTGCAACTGGACAGGTCAGATGACTTTGTGAGCGAAACTGAGGACTGTGCCCTTCAGCACACAGCAGGACACAGTAGGAATGCTAGCTCCTATTCAGCCTGCTGTCCTGCCCAGGCTTCCTATTGAGTAGTGACCTGGGGTAAAGGCTTACAGGTCCCTGAGTTCTTACCCTAGGCTCTTACAGCTGAGGCCAAGTGCAGATGTAAAGCTCTCTGGGGAGCTTTATCACTGGCAGGGATGTACAGACTCAGAATCTTGGGAAAGCTACACCCCAAACCTCAGAGTGCTTTTTCATCAGTAAAATGGGGGTCTGAACTATGTCAGACTGCATGGAAATGAATGCCAAGAGTTTAACACAATTCCTTAACTGAGTATAGTGTATTCGAATATTCTCTGAGCATCCAGAAGGCTTGAGAATTAAGGTGTGGAATGTGTAGGAGGCTAATAGGACAACATGGGCAGCAAAAACAGTCCTGGGAAGCTGTTATTTGGTAGTGTAGTAGCACCTTTGTGTTTCTTTGGTTTTTGTTTTGTTTTCCTTTGAGAAGGGTATCTCTGTGTATAGCCCTGGCCAACAGTTGACAAGTCAGGTTACGTATCGTCTGAGAGACACAGTGACTTCTCTGAGCTTACACAGCTACTCTCTGTCCTTTAAGCCATAGCGGTTCTGGGGAAATGTAAAGACTTGTAGTCATTTACCATATTTTTGAAAGAGGTGACTAAAAACCTAGAGGCAGATTAATTTAGTTGAGTTCAGGGAGTGTGTCAGGCAGAAACTGAGAGTGGTCCTTGCAAGGAGTCTGGGAGGGTGTGGGGAGAAAGCATCTCCTCAGGAGGTGAAATTGAGCCTGGCTGCAGATAAAATGGAACTAGGACTTCTGAAGTCTGGGTTCTACCAGCACAACGCATGACATCCTGGGTTCAGTGAAAGTCAGCTCAGCGTCACAAACACTGTATTTGCCAACCAGACACATGGGTAGCAGGAGGAGGGAAAGGTCCCCTTCCTCTAGGCCCTGTGAGGATGGAGCCAACTTGATGCTTGGGGTAGAAATGCTAAGCTAACTACACTGTCACTCACCCACTTGCTTTTTTTGCACTCTTCTCAGGTACCTGTGTGACAAGGTTGTTCCTGGGAACAGAGTCACCATCATGGGCATCTATTCCATCAAGAAGTTTGGCTTGAATTCCAGCAAGGGCCGGGACAGGGTGGGTGTGGGCATCCGGAGCTCCTATATCCGAGTCCTGGGCATCCAGGTGGACACAGATGGCTCTGGTGAGTTGCTCAAAACATTAGGATGGGCTTTTTTTCATGGTAGGACTCAAACCCAGAACCTTGTGCATACCACTGAGCTATGTGTTTATTTCTACAGTAAGCAAAAATTTGTTCTCCCAAAATGTCCACCTATTTATTGGTATAGTTGTAGCTCCTGCTCTAAGTTTGTTGCCTAAATGTGTGTTTGAGTTGCATGACTCAATGCAGTGTATTCTGTGTGTGCTGTGCTGTATCTCAGTGCTGGAGAGGAAAGAAGTGAATGAGGGTTGAGCAGTCAGGATCTAGTTGAAGAGAGCCCTGAGGAACAGGCATCTGACACTGAACTACTTGATTCCATCGAGGTATTGAAAAGGAGCTAGAGTGTGGTCTGAAGGCTTCCTGCATCAGGGCTGTCAGCACTGGCTTTGAAGGATGGAGATGTGGAGGAGAAGGGTCTTTCAAGCATAGAGGAGAGCTGGTGGGAACTCAGGCCTAGTATGGGGTGGAAGTAACTGATCTCCAGTGGAAGTTGGGTTGAATGGCAGGCAGGGCCAGGTAAATAGCCTCCAGTCTCACTCTCATGGAGTGGAGAGCTCATGCTCACACCCAGGGGCAGTGAGGGTCATGTCTGGGCTAGAGTGATGGAGTTCTAAGTACTGTGTCCAGATACTATGTTGGTAGAAACTCCCTGGGTTAAAACTGGAAAAGCCACCTGTTCCTCTAGACATATTCCAGACGTAATTCTTCTTGACTTGATATCCCATAGCCAAGCACTTTTATTTTCCACCTTCTGAAATTGGTTCCTCTGCAGCCTTCCCTCCCTTTCAGTTGTTCAGCAAACCCTCCAGATCCTCTTCAGCCCCCTCCCGCTTTTTTAATCCTGCCACCTCATCTACTAGCTTGCTTTAGGCTGTCTACCTTCAGGCCCAGGAATGTCCACTTGTTACCCTGGTCTGAGTCTCATTGTTTCTCCTAGGTTGCTCTTCCAAGCCCCCTGCTTCTCTGAGTCCACTTGGTCCTACTTTCTCCATTCCTTAGCAGTTGACATGAGCCATCCTGTTGTGACCAACCAATTGCATTGACTCTCTACTCGATCTGCATTATGAGAGGTTTGCCAGTGGTCCCCAGGGGCCATCTGATTTGGCCTGTTTTGTTTTTTTTTTTAATTTTAAAAATTTTTTTGAGACGGGGGTTTCTCTGTGGCTTTGGAGGCTGTCCTGGAACTCTCTTGGTAGACCAGGCTGGTCTTGAACTCACAGAGCTCTGCCTGCCTCTGCCTCCCGAGTGCTGGGATTAAAGGCGTGCACCACCAACTCCCGGCCTGTGCTTTTTCTTTTTTCTTTTTTTTTTTCCCGAGATAGGATTTCCTCTGTATTGTTTTGGAGGCTGTCCTGGAACTAGCTCTTGTAGACCAGGCTGGCCTTGAACTCATAGAGCTCGCCTGCCTTGCCTCCTGAGTGCTGGGATTAAAGGCATGTGCCACCAATGCCCGGCCCGTGCTTTTTCTTTTAAGACGGTTTCTCTGTGTATCCATGGTTGTCCTGGAACTTACACTGTAGACCAGGCTGGTGCTGGGATTAAAGGCATGTGCCACCACTACCCAACCATGATCTGGCCTTCTGATTGTTTGGAACCTTCTCTTCTTCACTGGACCCTTGAGATTTGGAAGGCTGGGATAGCCCTGTGCCCTAACTTTCCTGAGTGAGACTGCCCTCCTGGTGCTGCGGGTTGTGTGTTGAGGTTGAGGAGGTTCCTGATCTAGGGCTAGACCCAGCAGTAGGCTGGAGGAGATCCTTTTGCTCACTTGTGCACTGTCTGTCCTAGGCCGTAGCTTTGCTGGGTCTGTCAGCCCACAGGAAGAGGAGGAATTCCGTCGCCTGGCTGCTCTCCCCAACATCTATGAGCTCATCTCCAAGAGCATTTCCCCCTCCATCTTTGGGGGTATGGATATGAAGAAGGCTATAGCCTGCCTGCTCTTTGGGGGCTCCCGGAAGAGGTGAGGGGCCTGCCTGGGAGGAGAGTGTGTGACAAGGCTGCTGCAGGAGGACATCTCTGTTGAGGACCCAGTGCTCCCAGGTCCCTCAGCATGCTGGCATGGGGAGTACAGTGGGTTAGGGCCAAGGAGTTGATGTCTGCTCTCGACTGTGACCTTGAGTGAGAGATACCGCCGTGAAACATAGTTTCTATGCATAAATGAGACATGTGAGACACATGACTCTTGGAAGGTGTCATATATCCTTGAGTGAGAGATACCGCCGTGAAACATAGTTTCTATGCATAAATGAGACATGTGAGACACATGACTCTTGGAAGGTGTCATATATCCTTCTCTTTCTTTTGTTTTGGGTTTTCTTCTTTGAAACAAATGTTTTTCTTTCCACATTATATAGTCAGACTGCCCTTGAAACTCATCCTCCTGACCTAGTCTCCCAGATTCTAAGATTACAGGTGTGGTCCACCACTCTTGCTTCCTGTGTCCTTTTGGAACTCTAAAAATAATAGAGCTACAAATAGTACCACAATGGCTACTGTTTGAATGCACTTTTTGTATGTTCCAAGCATTCTTACATTTAATGAGTCTTGACCCAGACCTGTCTTATCAGTCTATAAGGCTGTTGCTTTGTGTCCATTTCATAGATGAGGAAATGGGCACAGAGAATGAAGGGATTTGCTCCAGATCTCAGGCTGGGCTGGATCCTGCCCTGTGGCTCTTCTCTGCGTGTGCACAGCCCTCAGGTGTTCCTCCACCCAAAGCTGAGAGGAGTGCGTGCAGATGCACATCCCTCAGTGCCAGTTCCCCTACCTCTCTACCTGGAAATAACCCTTGCCCTCCAGTGTTAGGCTTGGAAGCACAGAACTGGGTGTGAACATTTTCTGGGCCAAACTCATTCCCACCTGTTCTAAGACCCTTAGGGAGGGTGAGTTCAAGGACAGCCCTCAGATAGACTCTTACTCTGTCTTCTACCTCCTTGTTGTGTCTAGGCTCCCTGATGGACTCACTCGCCGAGGTGACATCAACCTGCTGATGTTGGGGGACCCTGGCACAGCCAAGTCGCAGCTTCTGAAGTTTGTGGAGAAGTGCTCTCCCATTGGGGTAAGTGTCTGGGGACAACTTTCTCCTTGGTTTGGTCGTCCCAGCAGGGAAGAAAGCTACAGTTGCTGGATATCCATGGATCTTGTTCAACCAGAACCTCTTCTTCGTTCATCTTGACTGTTGAGGAGGCAGAGCAGGTGTGAGAAGCAAGGGACAACAGGTGTGTGTAGGTTAGGGCTGGGTGGTAAAAGCACTGGACTGAGTCAGGTTTGCTTCAGCCTGGCAGTAGTTGCGTGGACTTGAAAGCCTAGACTCCTGAACGTCAACCTATCTAGTTGCTAAATAATGACACCGCTAATGATAATAGCTGATATCAAGAAGGGCCAATGCTTCCTGAAGTGCCTGCCAAGTTTTTGCTCATTTAACTGTCTCCTCATGAGCGCTGTCACCCATGTTATGCATTGGAGGTATGAACGGAGCAATAAAGTGTCTTGCTCAAGATCCCACTGCTGGGGAACTTAAGAACGAGGTTTGATTCGAGACCAGCCTGGTCTACAATAGCTAGTTCCAGGACAGCCTCCAAAGCCACAGAGAAACCCTGTCTCAAAAAACCAAAAAAAAAAAAAAAAAAAGGAATGAGGTTTGAGCCAGTGTGTCTTTTTTTGTTTATTTGTTTGTTTTGAGACAGGATTTCTTTATTTTTTGGAGACTGTCCTGGAACTCTCTTTGAAGACCAGGCTGGCCTCGAACTCACAGAGATCCACATGCCTCTGCCTCCCGAGTGCTGGGATTAAAGACGTGCACCACCACTGCCAGGCTTCCAGATTTTTTGTTTTGTTTTTTGGAGCCAGTGTGTCTAATGACCCAGGTCCTCTGGGCCTGGGAGGATCATGGTAAGGGTTGGTGTGATGACTGGTCAGTGGGCTGTGCTGTGAGAGTGGTAGTTTTAGATGGAGAGGGGGTGTGCTCAGTTTACCACATTTGCACCATTCCTTAGAAATACCATGGCCGGAAAATGTTGAGTTGTCTTGGGAAATCTTGTAGTGAAATTAACTTGTATAATCTGTTTAACCTATAGTTCAGTATAGTTCTGTTTTTTTTTTCAGTGTAGATGGAACCCAAAATCTTGTTCATGCTAGGCAAGTACTTTACCACACTAAGCTGCACCCCAGGCCTACTATAGACAAGTACTTGGCATTCCTGTTAGTACAGTCTGATCTGAGTATGCCTCACATACATGCATCTCAGTAGGTACTGTATTTCAAGGGGTCTGGCAGCACATAACATACAGGTCTTCACAGATAGATGATGGACTCAGGATAGAGGCAACCTTAAGAGACCAGGAGTTCCTGATACCAGGTTGAAATATGTCCTTCTTTTTCTGGGCCTCAGTGTCATAGGGCTGTAGCTTGGGTGAGCCATTTTCCTTCCACAGAGACTCTTAAGCTAGTCTGAGGCCCAGGATGGCCCCTTTCCTTTCAGAAGAAAGAATGCTCAGCTGGGCCTTGTTTTGTGCTGTACAGCCAGCTTTGCAGTGTGATGTGGAGAAGTCACAGCCCTCTGGGCTCTTGGCCTTTGGAGCTAGCACTAGGTGCTGACACCTCTCCTCTTTCCCAAGGTGTACACATCTGGAAAAGGCAGCAGTGCTGCAGGCTTGACCGCCTCAGTGACACGGGACCCCTCCTCCCGAAACTTCATCATGGAAGGTGGAGCCATGGTTCTGGCCGATGGTGGCGTTGTCTGTATTGATGAGTTTGACAAGGTGAGTGTTTTTAGTTACAGGTTTAGGGGTGTGTGGCCTCAGGTGTGAAAGCACACACCACTTCTGAGAGACTTGCATATAGTTCTTGTGCCCATCACTCTGCGTAGCTTAGTATAAGTTAGGATCTCTGAGATACTCTGGAAATTGGGGAGAGTGAAAGCCAAGCTCTTGTTGTCTGCCATTGACTTGAAGTCTAGCAGCTCCTAGTTATTCTCCTGCCGCTCTCCCCTGCCTGGGTGAGGATTCTGATAGACATGTCTTTCCAATGCAGATGCGGGAAGATGACCGTGTGGCAATCCACGAAGCCATGGAGCAGCAGACTATCTCCATTGCCAAAGTGAGTGGCCCTTCCATCCTTCATCAGTCCAGCTGTCTTCTTCCAAGTTCTGTTTGCCTAGGACTGTGCTGGCAGCAGCAGGTTTGGAACACACGTGCACGCCATGTATTTGGTGTCCCAAATATTTGATTATCTCCTTCCTTTATTTCCACCTCCTCCCCAGGCTGGGATCACTACCACCTTGAACTCTCGCTGCTCTGTTCTGGCTGCAGCCAACTCAGTGTTTGGCCGATGGGACGAGACCAAAGGGGAGGATAATATTGATTTCATGCCTACCATCTTGTCCCGATTTGACATGATCTTCATTGTCAAGGATGAACACAACGAGGAAAGGGACATGGTATGTTTTAGGGGCTGGGCGGGTGGCTCCAGGTGGGTTCGTGGTCCTGAGGCTATACCAGATTTTGCCAGGGAACTGCTGATGCTCCGGTAGGTTGTGAGTGGAAAGCACATGAAATGATATTGACTTGGGACCTGGAGTCCTGTGACCTTGTCCTACTTATGCCCTGAGAGGGATGCTTTGTGACTTTTAGCTTCGCTCCTCGCCCTTGTTAGTCGGTTTCTCAAAGAAAATAGTCATGGGATTTGGTAAGGCCGTAGGGTTAGTGCACAGGTGGAGTGGGTTGTTTCTGCTTCATTCTCAGACCATGGCAACTCTTACAAAGGAAGACATTTAATTGTCGCTTATAGACTTTGCAGGATAGGACAGCAATCGTCTTCTGGACTATACTTGTTATTTGTTATCATTATATATAGGGTTAGTATCAAGTATATTATATATAGGGTTAGTATCAAGCTTTAGACCCTTACTTACACAAAAAGGGGAAATGTAGTGGCATCTTGCTTTGCCAGTGAACTTGAGTTCGTGGCCACATCCTAGGGGCATGGCTTCAGGTGTGCAGTGTGACCCCTTATAAGGAAGAGGAGGGACTGCCTCACTCTTGGGTTGTGGTGAGAGCATCGGAAGGGCAGAGACTGTATTTTCTGGAGCAGGAAGACCACAGTGGTTATTTACTATTTGTGTAAGTGCTTCCCTAACAGTACCTGTTTATCATTTATCTTGGGTCTTGTGGACTCCTTTAAATCCCTCCTTCAATGATGGGAAGCAAGGCAACGTTCAGGCAGCTGTGCTGGAGAAGGAGCTAAGAGTTCTACATCTTGACTCACAGGCAACAGGAAATGGTCTGAGACACTGGGCGTGGCTTGAGCATTTATGAGAACTCAGAGCCTTCATAGTGACACACTGCTTCCAATAAAGCCACACCTGCTAATAGTGCCACTCTCTTTGGAGGCCATTTTCTTTGAAATCACCACAGATGATAAAGATTGGGCAGACTTAGGGGCACAGGCCTGTACTTTCGGTGGAGGCTGAGACAGGAGAATTGCAAGTTCAAGTCCAGGTTGGGCAACTCAAAATAAGTAAGATAAAAAGGAGCTGGGGATTTTGCTCAATGGCAGAGTGACTCCTTAGCATGTAAGAGGTCCTGGCTCAATTCTTAATATCAATAGAACCAATAAAATATATTTAGTGCCTGGCGGTGGTGGCGCACGCCTTTAATCCCAGCACTCGGGAGGCAGAGGCAGGCGGATCTCTGTGAGTTCGAGGCCAGGCTGGACCGACAGCCTCCAAAACAATACAGAGAAAACCCTGTCTCGTAAAACCAAAAACAATTATATATATAATCTTGTTAGCTGCTAATTTAACTGTCTTCCTCTTCGGAAGAAGCCTTTTCCAGTAGTTCTAGTAGAAGTCCCAGGATGGACTCTGGCTGGCTTGGATTGGTCTAGTGTCCACCAACACAGGGTTTCTGTGTGTTGTCCTTGAACTCACTCTGTGGACCACTCTAGCCTTAAACTCACCGCCCAGCTCTGTGTCCATCCTTAAGTAGTAGACAGTCCATAGGGACTGGAGCAGAAGCACTTATGTAACATCATTGCTCTTCCTGTCTGCACTGACCTAGTGTTCCCTCTGTTCCTTAGATGCTGGCCAAACATGTGATCACTCTACATGTGAGTGCGCTGACACAGACGCAGGCTGTGGAGGGTGAGATCGAACTAGCCAAGATGAAGAAGTTCATTGCCTACTGCCGAGCGTGAGTGCTAGAGAAGACCCTTTTGGGTGACATTCATGTCTGTAAACCAAATAGAGGCCTGGGGACAGGGTGGGCAACTGAGATTCCTTCCTGGCGTCACTAGTTCACTCTGCAATCCGTAGGAGGTGTGGCCCTCGACTGTCTGCAGAGGCAGCAGAGAAACTGAAGAACCGCTATATCATCATGCGGAGTGGGGCCCGTCAGCATGAGAGGGACAGCGATCGCCGTTCCAGCATCCCTATCACTGTGCGGTGAGCAAGGGGGCCTCATCTCACGGACTGGTGCCGGTTGACCACTGCTGCCCTTAATGCAGGCCCAGGGGGGTTGGGCAAGGGGGCCTCTGGGACTGCTCTGGCCTCTTAATTATGTCTTGGTGCGTTTGAGTATGCTGGGTGGGCTCACTTGTATAGTTTGCCTGGCTTCCCTCTCTGGTAGCTTCTGGCCAACTATGTAACTACTAGGAAATGGATCTTCACTGGGTCTCAAACTTTTCTTCATACTTAGGTCGTTAGGGTAGTGCATTTATAGACAACATACTGAGTAAGAGCTGAGGCCTACCTAAGCAGAATCCTGCCTCTCTAGCAGTGATTAGTTAGAAGTAGATTTGGTTGTATGTTAAGAAACCCAAAGATAGTAGCTTAAGTTGGAAGTTTATTTTCTTTTTGAAACTTTGGGGAATAGGTAGTTTTTCAGAGCTGTCCATCATTGCCAACCTTTCACCCTCATGGATCTAGAAGTTCCAGCCATCTTTTCCACATTTGGGCATCAAGAGAGGCAGCAGGAGGATGTGTTTGTTTGCTTGTTTTTTGAGACAGGGTTTCTCTATAACGTTGGAGCCTATCCTGGAACTTGCTCTGTAGACCTGGCTGGCCTCGAACTCACAGAGATCCACCTGCCTCTGTCTCCTAAGTGCTGGGATTAAAGGTGTGTGCCAACACTGCCTGGCCAAGGACATGCTTTTTTAAGGATACTTCTGACATTTTCATATGGTGCGTGAATTTTAGAGCCCACTGGCCACAACGTGGTCACACAGACACCTTTTCCAAAGAGGCAGGAAATATCCTTTATTAGGCAGCATGCGTGGGAATAAAAGTTGGGTTTCAGTACTAAGAATATAAGGCAATGCATAATGGGGGTGGTAACTGCCTTGGCCATGCTCCTTCCTGGAGGGTCAGGGGAGGGAAAGTGGGCTGGGGCCTTTGAGTACTCTTGTTCCAACAGGCAGCTGGAGGCTATTGTGCGCATCGCTGAGGCCCTTAGTAAGATGAAGCTGCAACCCTTTGCCACCGAGGCCGATGTTGAGGAGGCACTGAGGTTGTTCCAGGTGTCCACACTGGATGCTGCTCTGTCTGGCAATCTGTCAGGTGAGTCGGTGCTGGGCTGTAGTCTTGACCCTAGGGTAGAGATTTAGTTAGCTGGTGGCCTGCAGGGTGCTGCCTAGATATGCTGTTGATACAGCCTTGTCCCCACTTCTCCCTTGGCCCTTTTCACTATTGTGGGAGCTTCTCTTGAGCCTGTTCATTAAAACTACTTACTTGTAGGCCTGTCACTGGTGAAGAATGGCTGTCTCTTTCTCCTGTGTTGAGCTCAGAATTGTAGTTTCCCAGTCCATGGTCTCATTTTTCTTGACAGCCATATCTGGGATACCAGGTTGTTACCAGGTTGTTTCTTCCCATTGTGGAGATGCAACTGACAGTTTCTGTGGTGCCTTGGTCACCACTCTTAGTGGAGTATAGGCCTTTGGCCCCCGAGTCCTAATATCTACTGCCTGCTTTCAGCCACTCAGCCTCTTCAGAGTTAGCGTCACCCTAGTCTGACAGGGATTCTGGTTTAGCATTGCCAGTCACTATCTAGGTGCCAGAGCCGTAAGCAAGCAGTTCTCCACATCCCTGTCCTACCCATTTCATAGGCTTCCTTCCCTTTCTTGGTGGGATACGGTGAGGAGGGAGGGAGGTATAGGTAGGGATGGGGTGGAGCGTGGGGACAGCTGGGCCAGTGTGCTGGAAAAGGAATGATCCCCTCCCATCTGGTGAAGACTGTAAGCTTCTCCCTTACCCAAGACTTCTCATGAGTGGCGCCTCCTCCCAGATTTGAATCCAGTTTGGAAGGCTTTGCCTTCCCGCTCTGTAGCTCATAACTTGTACCTCCACCTGGCATGGTGGTACAGAGGCAGGAAGATGTCTTTTGAGGTTTGGGACCATCCAGGGCTATACAATGAGACCTTTCCTCAAATAAAATGTTGCTTCTATCAGAGCCTTTTCTGTAGCTATTCCTGTTGCCTCAGTATGTGTGGCTCATAGGACCTCATGGTACCTGGCTCTCGGTTATAGTGATGGCTTTGTCTCTGCCACCTGGTGCTGGGCCTGTTGGATGGCCTATGTTGCAATTCCCCTCTGCCTGTATTTCGTAGTTCTCACTTTCCTGCAGTGTTCTGTCCTTATTTTCCTCTCTGGGCCTGGTTCAGGCCATTCTACTTAAGAGGCTGCCGTTTCTCTGGCCCTTCCAGTATGGTTGAACTGGGGTTTCTAGCACGCGGTTCCCTATTGCACTCACAGGGGCGGAGGGCTTCACTACCCAGGAGGACCAAGAGATGCTGAGCCGCATCGAGAAGCAGCTCAAGCGCCGCTTTGCCATCGGCTCCCAGGTGTCCGAACACAGCATTGTTCAAGACTTCACCAAGCAGGTGAGCCTTCCTAAAAACTGGGGGCTGTAAACCACACCCAAGATACAGAGGGCACCCTGGTTCCCTTGATCTATGTTCTGTGTTCAGATGGGGTGCTGGGGCGGGGGGGGGGGTTTGAGCCTAGGACATGCTACAGTTGGGGTTGGCTATTTATATATACCATGAAGTGGGAAAATTTTAGAAGCCAGGTCTGGAGAAACCACCACCTCATTTTCTCATTTCTTACTCTTTCCCTTAGTGCTTGGCTCCTTACAGGGTAGGGAGCCAAGAGCCAGATGAATGAGCCCTGTAACCCCTGGGCAGAGGGCTGTTGATGCCTTGCAGAGGAGATGCTGCTGTTGGATGCCAGGAGGAACCTGTGCCCTTTAAAATCAGGATAGGCCTGGCTCTGTCCTTGGCTTCCTTTTCTGTGTATCCTCTCAGTTTGCTTCTGGAATAGTTTACACAGTAGCTGGTACTTGCCCTGCTCTATAGGTGAGAAGATTAGCGTTTTCTGAGACGGGCTGGAGAAAGTTAGGTTTCTAGGGTCACAGGGACTTAAGTGTTAGCTCACTTAATTGCTATATGACCTTAAATAAGTGATACCCTCTTCGTGTCTCTTCCTCTGTGAAGTAGTTCCTAATTCTGGTTGTGTAAGTTGACCTAGGACTATACTTGCCTGGCACACAGGAGGCATTGCGAAGTATAAGCCCTTCTAAAGTCAAGGGAGAACGAAGGTGGACGCTTTTTGTCTGACAATTGTCTGTGAGCAAGGGGCTTCGTGGGCCGGCTCCCTTGGGTCTTGATGGTATGTCCCTGTATGTATCTTTTGCTCCCTCCTACAGAAGTATCCAGAGCACGCCATCCGAAAGGTGCTGCAGCTCATGCTGCGCAGGGGAGAGGTCCAACACCGCATGCAGCGCAAGGTGCTCTACCGCCTCAAGTGAGCCCACTGCCCATCAGCCCCAGACCTGAGTGCGGCCACTGCTCCAGCTCCTGGCTTCTTGCACTTCTGCGTCCTCTGTCTGAAGGAGCGTGTGCTGCCTTACCCTCGCCTCTGACTGCTGTCTGCAGTCGCCTGCAGCCCCTCAGAATGCGCTTTGGTCTCTTGGCCTCAAAGACTGTTTGGATGCCTGAGGGCTCTGATATAGGTGCCTAGCCCCTGTCCTGCCTCCTGCAAGATAGGTCTGGCTCCTGGACTGCCAGACTGCCAAGCTTCTTCATGTGTTCAGAGGAAATAAAGTGAGTCCTTGGCTGCTAAGAGCATTGGAGCCAGTGTGACAGTGGTTCTGTGTGAAGTGTGAGGTTAACTCAGCTTTCTCCAGTGGCATCTGATGGGAGAACTGGATTATTCACTAGGCTTGTCTGTCTGTTTCCTAATGTGCAAACGAGTTTGACATTGTCTCACAGTGGTTGTCAGTGAAAATCCAAGTAGGCTGCAGTGTAGAAAACTCCAGTGACATTTGGGGTTTTATTTATAGCAAAGTGGGCTAGATGAGTTTCTGGGACCTCCATACTGTGTATCTACTCCTGGGAAAGGAACCAGACTTCATGCCTTATCAGTGATAGAGCCGGGAGGACCTGACCCAAGCCCAGCATGGTAGGAAGTACTAGGAAGAACTGTTTAAGGAGGATGCCCCAGCGCTTTTTTTTTTTTTTTTTTTTTGGTTTTTCGAGACAGGGTTTCTCTGTATTGTTTTGGAGGTTGTCCTGGCACTCGTTCTGTAGACCAGGCTGGCCTCGAACTCACAGAGATCCACCTGCCTCTGCCTCCCGAGTGCTGGGATTAAAGGCGTGCGCCACCAACGCCCGGCTGCCCCAGCGCTTTTATTAGCAAAGTACCACCGAGTTTTGTTATGCTTTTAGAAATATAACTCATAAATATGTAGTTCATAAAATTAAGGAAAGTGTATGAAATAAAGTATCTGTTATTTAAAGTAATTTATAAGTGGGAAGCATCAAATGAACTGAGCCTAGCAGTGCCAAAACTGTCAGTCACTAACAGTAAAGCCATTGTGGGAATGACGCTGTGGCAAACAGGAAGTGCAAGCATGAGCCTTCTCATAGCCGTGTCCTGTGCTGTGCTGAAATTGCTGCTGCTTGAGGTATTTGCCTCTGTGCTCCTGACTCATGCTCAGAAACATTTCTATTTGATTGGTTTGCAAACTTGGAATGGAGTGTGCTTGTCCAGAAGGCAGGGCTGGTGAGAGCACTCATCGTGGGTACTTGAGGCCTTGAGTAGGATGCATGAACACATTGGCCTGTATAAGTGGTCTCTTGGTAGACCATTGCTGGCAGGCACAGTGCTAAGGGATATGACAAGCTTGGCTTGCAGGGAATCGGGGAGTGCTTGGGAGTGTGCAGCAGCATGAGGAATAATTGGCCAGGAAAATTCCTAGGAATTGGGGATTGGTTGGTTTCTGAATCAACAGGATCCTATCCTTCCATTTTCCAAGACACTGGCCTGAGCTGATGTGGCCAAGATGGTCTGAGCCTCCACGTGTTCCCTTCCTCTTCCTCTTCCTCCCCTTCTCATGTCCTCATGATCTGTGAGAACAGGATTTGAAACAACGCTCTGATGACTTAGCTGAGGAGAGCATCAGCCCTGCTCCCTGCTGTGCTAACAAGGGGCTGGCGTGGATTGCTTCTGCCAGCAGCTTGAGTTTTCACCTTGAAGTGCTTGGGCCTCCTGGCGATCCTTTGTCCCTTGCCCAAGATACAAGCATTTCACATCTCCAGTTGGTCTTTTAACTTAAATATTATTTGTCCTTAGCCGTGTGTGGTGATTCCCCCTGCAGACTTTACAGCAGGCAGGGAAAGACAATCCATGAAAAAGAAACTCAGCTCAGCCCAATTGTATCGTAACCGGGGCTACACCAAGATTTCTAGTCTACCCAAATACTTTAGTTATGTTTAAGCATAGCACAATTTTGAAAGTATTCAGATAATCAGATATCAACTAGCTCAGCCCCAAGTGCACAACAATTTAAGACATGTTTACATTGAGATTCTTAAAGTACATGGGTACTGTTGACTCAGATAGTGCCCAAGATTGAGGGTCTAGGGAGCTTGACTGAGATAAACATAATACCTGAGGGTGTCAGGACTAGCCTTGCCCTAAGAAGTCACTTAGACTGTTGTAAAGCACAAGTGACATCACTTAAGAGTGGGTTTTATTCTGAGCAATGGTGCATACATTTGATCCCAGTACTTGGGAGGCAGGACAGTTAAGACAGAAACTCTTAAAAAAACAAAAGGTGAGGAAAAGGTGAGTTTTATGATCTAAAAGCAGTACTCTGATGAGAAGGTCTGAGATGTGTAAAACAAATCCTGAGAAATAAGGCAGAGCCTGTCTTATCAGACAGCAAATGATCTCCAGGTTGTAAAACTACCTCATTCCTGACTTTTTCAGTGCTCATCTGCGTGCTCATGCCTTTTTGTTCTCTACAGTCCTACATCCATGTCGTGCATGACAGCATTGGTATGAACACAAGTGAGATAAGGTGGCCTGGTACACTGCTGGGCTCTGCTGCATCTGCCATCACATGCTGTCTGACCCAAGTGGCAAGTGGGAAAGAGTTCTACTGTGATTTACACCTTGGGGGTGTGTGTGTGTGTGTGTGCGCGCGCGCGCGTACGCACATATTTTCTGGCCAAATTCTAAGCTGTTGGGAATCACACTGGTCACTGTAGCCACTATAAAAGTTGTACCTGTGCTTAAAATGCGGTTACAGTGCCTATTAGGCTAGGCAACCCTCTTGTTTTTGTTTTTCCAGACAGGGTTTCTCTGTTTTGTTTTGGAGGCTGTCCTGGAACTTGCTCTGTAGACCAGGCTGGCCTTGAACTCAGAGATCCACCTGCCTCTGCCTCCAGAGTGCTGGGATTAAAGGCGTGTGCCACCAACGCCCGGTTTAGGCAACCCTTTTAACTCCAGCACTTATGTGGGGTGGGAGGGCTTACAAGTTGGGGTATAGGAGGTTGGCCCTGTCTCAAAAATGATCTACATGGTATGTTATTGAACATATTTTAGAGAAACACTTGTAAGTACCAGAATAAAACTCCACTCTTTTTTTTTTTTTTCTTCTGAGACAGGTTTTCTCAGTGTAACAGTCCTGACTGTTCTGGAACTCTGTAAACCAAGCTGGCCTTGAACTCAGAGATCCACCTGCCTCTGCCTCCAGAGTGCTGGGATTAAAGGTGTGTGCCATCACTGCCCAAACTATTCTCTCATTTTTAAAATTAAATTTTAATTGATTCTTTGGGAATTCTACATCATGCACCCCAATCCCACTTATTGCCAACCCCTTCACATCTGCCCTTCACCCTGCAACCTCCCTCTCCCCCCCAAAAAAATTAAAACAAACCTCAGCAATCCCTGTGGGCGTGACCTGCTCCTCCAGCTCTGTGCACACACCGTTCAGCTCCTTTGTCTCCCACAGCACATAAATCAGTCCACTCCTTCCACCCCACAGTCCATCGTCACTGCTGTTGCAGCCTCTAGTTCACCTCTCTTCTCTCACCACCATTCTCTTATTTTTAAGAACAACAAAAACAAGGAATTTCAGAAATGCAAAGAGATGCTGAGAGTTGTTTCCCTAGCCACAGACTGTTGGAATGATGGCAGGAGATGAATATTCCACAGTCAGGGTAGCTTTATGGTTTTAGATAAAAATTTTTCATTTATATTGTGCATGTGTATGTGTTTTATGGTTTTAGATATATAACTATGTTGTGTGTTGGGCTTGAATGGCATGGCACATGGGTGGAGCTCAGACAACAACTTTAGTCTGTTCTCTCCTTCCATGTTTATATGGGTTCTGGGGAGAACTCAGGTCATTAGATATCTGTTGCAAGCGCCTTTACCTTCTGAACTACACAGGTCCTTATAAGCATGAACAGTGTCAGGTTGGTATTTATTGGACCAAGGGTTGCAGCTCCGTGGTCAAAGGCTTGCCTGGTACGTGTGAGGTGAGGGTTCCATCCCTAGCACCATATAAAACATGGTTCAAGAAGGTGCTAGATTTCAATGAGATTAGAAGTGAGGCTTTCACTTGAAATATGAGACAGTAGAGCATAGTGACAGTATAAGTGTATGTGCCCAGAGTCAGTGCTCTGGTTTCAGATTGTAACTCAGCTGTTTACTGTACCTATTCCAGCCTTCATTTCCTGCTAAGAAATAGGGCTGATGTGAGCACCCTTCTGAGGATGAGGTGAGGCAGGCTCTCCTAGTGACTGATAAGCTGCCCTAACAGTAACAGGTTTTGGAGTCATGGAACTAAGTTCCAGGCAACAGGCAATTTAGGATCATTTTGACTCTTTGCCGGTTTTTTTTTTTTTTTTTTTTTTTTTTTTTTGGTTTTTTGAGACAGGGTTTCCCTGTGGCTTTGGAGGCTGTCCTGGAACTCGCTCGGTAGACCAGGCTGGTCTCGAACTCACAATGATCCGCCTGCCTCTGCCTCCCAAGTGCTGGGATTAAAGGCGTGCGCCACCAACGCCCGGCCTCTTTGCCGGTTCTTAGAGCTCGGAGAAGTTCAAGAACAAATAAAAAAAAAAAAAAAAAAAAAAGAACAACCATGAAGGCGGGTTGGTATTAGCACTGTCTTAGTTGGGATTCTATCACTGTGAAAAGACACCATGAAGAAAACATTTATTGGGATGGCTTGATTATAGTTTCAGAGGTTCAGTCCATTATCATGTTGGGAGCATGGTGCTGGAGCTGAGAGTCCTACATCTCGCAGGCAACAGTAAGTTGAAACACTGGGCAGTATCCTGAGCATAGGAAAGCTCAAAGCCTGCCCCCACAGTGACACACTTCCTCCAGCAAGGCCACACCCACTCCAACAAAGCCACACCTAGTAATGCCACTTTGAGATTATGGGGTCCAATTACATCCAAATGGCTACAAGCACCTTCCCCGGAGTCCAGCAAAAGGTACTGTGGACAAGGTAGAATAGATTCTAAGGTAGAGTGTGGTCAGGTACGGTGCCTATGGGGTTGCCAGGTTCAAAGTCCAAGGTATGTTTAGCTGGATTGGTATCTGAAATCTGGCCTGCAGGGTCTTGTCTTCATGTAATCAATTCCACCACATTAGCATAACTTTTTAAGGTTGGTTTCACTATGTAGTCTGACTGGTCTGGAATCTGCTATGTAGACCAGACTGGGCTCAAACTCACAAATCTGCCTGCCTCTGCTGAAATTAAGGGCAAGCTCTACCACACCTGTCCCTTAACTACTTTCTGAAAGCTTTACATTTGGGCCTGA